CAGTGTATCCTCAGCCCTCTTTTTACCTTTTATTTAAAATTTTTTTGATTTATTTGTTTTTATTTTATGTATACGAATGTTTGCCTGCATGTATGTAAAGGTACTGCGTGCATACAATACCCATGGAGGCCGGAAGAGGGCATTGGATCCCGTGGAACTGGAGTTACAGATGGTTGTTAGCTGCCATGTGGGTTCTGGGAACTGAACCTGGGTCTTCCTGAAGAACAGCCAGTGCTCTTAACCACTGAGCCATCTCTTCAGTCCCTTTATATATTTTTTTTTTGAAATAGGATCTCACTGAATTGCCAAGCTGGACTTGAAGCTACTTTGTTGCCCAGGAAGGCCTCAAACTTGGGATCCTCCTGGGTCAGCCTCTTGAAGCACTGGGAGTGTAAACTAGCTTTGCCAGGTCTGGCTGAAATTTCTTACAGAACATGATAAGAAAGGTGGTTCAGCTGGGCGTGTTGGCACATGCCTTTAATCCCAGCAGAAGCTGGTGGATCTCTGTGAGTTCAAGGCCAACCTCGTCTACATAGTGACTTCCAGGTCGGCTGGGGCTGCAGGGAGACCCTGTCTCAAAAAGACCAAAAAAAAAAAGTGGTTCACACAAGCTTCCTGGGTGTGCTCTGTATCCATCAAAGAATTTAAGTGGAAATATGCCTTTAAATAGTTTGTTTTCTGATCCATGAATTTAGTATGTGATTTGAGTCTTGTTTAACATTGCTCATAAGCTTTGCTTTTCTTCTTATCAAAATCTTAAGTTCTTTGCCAAATATGTTTTGAGTTATTGATGTTTTTCTTTTTCTTTTTTCCTTTTCTTGGTCTTTTATTTATTTACTTATTTATTTTATGTATACGAGTATATTGCCTGCGTGTATGTTAGTGCACCCGTGTCGTGCAATGCCGTGGAAGTCAGAAGAGGACTTCAGATTCCCATGGAACTGGAGGTAAGGACAGTTCATAGCTGTCATTTGGGTGCTGGGAATCAAATCCAGGTCCTCTGCAAAAGCAGTCAGTGCTCTTAACCGC